ATGAAAAAAAAAAAAACGAAGCACTATCTAAAGTCATGTACTATCAATCATATACAGCGTGCATATTTACTTTCTAATATGCTTGAAAAACTAGCAAGCACAGGTGTACTGTTTTTGTTAGATTTCAAAAGCGTACGGAAAAACAAACTACGTCACTTCAGTTGATTATATTGCATAATGAAGCATAGATTCAATACAAGAGAAGAAGAAAAAAAATAGGGAGCGGAAAATATGTACCATAAGCATAGTGGTAGGGACACTCAGGCGACGCAGAAGTAATTTACAATTCGGATGCAACAATCGGGAAGGGTCAGGTGTGAGTGCATATCGTCCCATCTCACACTCACTCACGCATGAATGACTGAAAAGAATCATTGATAATGTAATTCAAATACCTGACTGTCAGCATTATAAACAATTCCACTAGTGAATAAATATTTTATTAGAAAGACAAAAACATCTGTGCAGCACATGTCACGTGGCTGAAATGTCCTCCAAAAACATACAATGGATTATAATATTCAATCCGCTTGAGATCCTTTTTAAGAGCAAGTGAGATCACAATAAGTAGAGCAATTCCAAACATAAGTGCAGAAAAACATGAGTTACCAACGAGCATCATTGAAACTGTTCAACATGTTTTATCAAAAATAAAGACAATTATGAAAAATGTTGCACGAAACTATACAAATATCAAAAGGAATAAACCATGGTTCGATATTTGTCTTGGTTGAATTTTCAACGGTTAGTCAGTAAGGTCATAAACAAGTGTTCATAAGATTTTTCTGGTAGGAAAATGAACTGAATATATTTGCTTTATTGCTATGAATGATTCCTTTTCTTTTCAGTTTATATTCAATTGTTTCTATGAAAATATGAATGCACAATCTTTGTGCATCAAAGCGTAGAAAAAGAAGACGGATTTTGACGTATGAGCTTTTCTGTCATGACTTTGTTGAATGAATAGTGAATAGCATAGGTCTGGTTGTTCGAAGTTGTCGTCATGTTTATCAGCATGAATTCCTTTCAACTATGTGACCATCTATCTGTCTTGTTTGTATTGTTTCTTGCATGACAGAATTAATTCGTTGGGAGTAGTGCCAATAGAGTTGTTCAAAAATGTGATGTTATTCGAAGAGTCAATAAAAGTGTAACAGAGTATTTTTCTTTCATTTGCTCATTCGTAATTTCATCATTTAATGAAATCCTGAAAGATAGCCTGTATAAGTTATCTTAAAAACCGTTCATACAGTGAGATCAATAGTTTGAAGAGAATCAAAGTATGAATAAAAGAAATTACCGATGAACATATTGAGCCTGTTCGCATATTAATATTCAATACTCTGTAGCGGAACTTGATGCGCACGAAGTGTTCTCCACGCAGCAGGCAAGTGAAAAGCTGACTTTTGTCTCGATGAATATTTGATTCCAATCTTCAGATTGCGACATTTTTACGGATTATATTCGTATTCACAATACAAAAAATAGTTTTTTGGTTTCTCTTTTGCCATTGATCCATCTCTTATTTATTTGTTTATGACTCGATTAGTACATCATCTACTAGATGATAAGATACAATTTAGATTTTAAGAAATCTCTGAATTCACTTATTGTTCGAATCAGCAATATACATATTCATCTTCGAATCGAATGCTACAGTGCGAGGAGTATTCAATTGTTCTGAGGAATCTCCAGCGACATCAGTACCAGCAACTATGATATCCGTTTGACTATCAGCGTCAGCAACAAATATGTTTAGGTTATGGTCAATTCTAATACCTCTTGGATTTCTAAGTAAAGTCGAGTGTGAACCTGGCACATCGGAAGTACCAGCTACAAAAATATCCGAAGACATGTTTGATGTCCAACGTATTATTGAATGTTCACCATAAAGTGTTATGAATAAATTATCGATGAGCGATGGTGATAGTGCAATACCTGAAGGTTGGTCGAATGATGTGTTTTTATTGCTAGAATGATTCACATCAGCTACAAGAGTTCCATTACCGTCTGAAGTAGAATTTGTAGGAAATTTCAGAACACGATTATTACCATAATCAACAACATAGAAATATGTGTTTGCTGAATCAAAAGCAAATAAGGTTGGATTCTATAGTTGATGCAATCCAGTTCCAGAAGTTCCGTTGCCTGCAATTGTAATTCCAACTACTGCATTATTAATAAATTTCTGTATATGATCATTGTATTAATCAGTCACATATATACTACCGTATCTATCCACGTAAACATCTTGAGGATAACTCAACTGAGTACTGTTCGGTTCAGTTGAATTTAAAATTCCAGCTACAGCAGTGACTACGGCTCTATTGGGTGATAGTTTCCATACAACGCCCATATCTGCGATATACATTGTATCACTAGAGTGGATATAAATACCTCTAGAACCGCTAGTAATATTTCGCGACTTAAATACAGTTTCACCTGTTGTGTTCCAACGTAAATTACCATCGCTACTTGTGTATAAAATCATGAAAAATGGATAATGCTTTTATCATTGGAAATATTTTTAATTTTACGTACAAAAATTTTTTTAATTATAGTTGACATTTATGTGGTAGTGATCGACCTATGATTGTACGTCGTATTGAACTCTATTTAAATCAATTTACAACTGAAACTTACGTTAAACTCTCTGTCGTCACAGCTACTATTGCTAAATAAAGAAATAGAAACACTGTAGGTGATTATAATTATGAAAAAAGAAAGATCCATTGGTGGTTAGTACCAACTGATCACGAATCCATGAATGATTCTTAAATAATTGACCAGTTATGGTCTGCATGGTAGATTTATATACACAATATCAATATTCGAAATGAGAAGAATTGTGTTAGAAATACGGCCAACAACAATAGAATAAATAGTATTGAAGGTGAATAATGATATAATATTGTACAGATATAAATAAAAGAATGCAATGTGTATATTGAAATCATCGATGAGCTCGATTGGTGTTCCTTGTTAGTAAAAACTATTCTGCTTTTGTACACCACTTTCCATGACACATACTTCTGTTTCTCCTATATTTATTTAGGTTCTCGAATGCTGCATGGCCCATTCAATTGAACTGTAAAATTATATCAACGAGTTTTCTGGGTCGCATTCGCTTTGCGGACAGATATTCTCAGAAGTGTAATTTGTTGTTTGCAATCATCTAAATATCTAATAACCATTTTATCTGACAATCTTTTTCGAAGATCAATATAGACTCGATGCAATGATTGTTGCCATGATCGGAGTTCGACGTTCCAATATCTTATCTATGTTGTTTCTATGACTTCTGGAAAAGTTGTTTGACCTTCGTTGTTATTTGCATCTCCAATCACCATAACAAGAATTTGTTACTTATCGGAATTATCGTTATCAAATATTACTTTCATACTTTCTTCGTGTAACATCTTGTCTACAAATTGTTTCTATCAAAAACAACATTCTTTTTGTTAGAACATTATCTTGTGTATAGTTTACGAGCTGGACAGCCACGTGGTGACACTATAGACCTATACAATTTGTCTCTCCATGCTTCCCATAGAGGATCAGCCTCTACTGTTTCGTTTGTACTACTACCAACAACACGTGTTTTTATATCAATACGCAGTTTATCTTCTTCAAGTACTTCTACGAGTTTCGCAAGGTTTACACGAATAGCTTGATTTGTATAGATCGATTCATTCGTTTTTCGCACATTGTTTGCAGTATATATCCCATTTGAAGTATCAACGGTGATGTAAAAATGTTTTGCTAGATATTTCGTGGGTTTCTGAACAAAAAACATCTCTTCGCAAGATTTAAAAATAACAAATGAGCATCTTACTCTAGGCTCAAAATTTGGTACCGACACTAAACTATCTCTCCCCTAATGTTCGATTATTCGTCTTATAATCACAGCATCTTTACTGCTTGTGCCTTTCAGAACTGTTTCGCCAGGGTCGATTTTCCATTTTCCGATAATATGTCTGATATAAATTATTATCGTCTCGTCCATTGGGTATCTGTTTGATTAGATCGCCAAAATCGGCAGTGAATTCCATTTCTATTTCTGTCGCATTACGTTCTTCCAGTACAGTTCAGATGACATTACAATTGGTTCAGGAAGCGGATTTGCTTTTTTCACAAAACTTCGAACATCATTTAGTATCGATACCATATGTTCTACAATACATGTTGTAACGTCTTCTGCTGATCATAAATACACTTTTTCTTTCTCCTTACCATTGTATTCTTCAATTGCCTTCATGACTGCTGGAGATTCTATTGTTGACGTCGAAGTGAATACAGCGTGTTTCTGCGAAAGGCGTTTTTTGCACTATTAGATTATTGCAAACTTCTGTATTTCTGTGCACATCTGTAGAGAATGCAGAAATCAACTCAATTCGACGGTGTTTGAGTGCTGATAATTATTAAAGACTACTCTCGAGTTAGGTTGAAATATCTTTTTACTAATCTTTTATACGTTTTTTTTTTATTAGCAGAAATGAATCCTTGTTCATATCACATTAAAAACAAGATCAAATTCATGTGTTACATCTTTTTTCTTTCAAAAGATAACAGCTTCATGCTTATCAATTGCTTATAAAAAGCAAACAAGGTGTGCGTTCGTATTATAGTAATAAACGACATATAGTTGTGCAAACAAATGATGTTGTTTTTCATACTGATCCTTTTCGCACCAAACGTCTTTGCTAATGAACCCGCTTTTGTCCACACCCAATATGGAGACATATTGGGTTATCAAACAAATATGTCTCGGGTCTTCTATGGAATTCCATTTGCACAACCACCTGTGGATGCATTGAGGTATCATAGCTCTACGATTCGTTTTTGCAATTTGTAATTATGTTCGAATAGATGGCAATCACCAGTACCTATTACAAAATGGGCCCCGAAAATAATCAATGCTACTCGACCAGCACCTGTTTGTCCGCAACCTCCTTGTCCACCATCAACAGAATCAATAAAATGTCCTACGGTGTCTGCTGTAAGTCACTAATTTAAAAAAGAAATAGAGAAAACTCACGTGCTTCAAATTCATACTTAGATGTCAGAAGATTGCCTTTATTTGAATATTTTCACACCATTAACAAATAACTTGTCGTCAGCAGCTCTTCTTCCAGTAATGATCTTTATTCATGGTGGTGATTTCCAATATTTGTCTCCATCAGATCCGATCTACGAATCTGAGCGTCTAGTAAATAGTACAAATGTCATCATTGCATTGATGCAATATCGATTAGGCAAGTAACACATATGTTCCAAATCATCAACGAACAGTTGCCGTATGTTTCTAGGAGTTTTGGGATACTTGGCAACTGGCAATGGTCCTAACGATATCAAAGGTAAGTATGGAATACTTGATCAACGAATGGCTCTTGGTTGGGTCAAAGAGAACATCAATGCATTTGGTGGTGATCCCAATCAGATTACACTATTCGGACAAAGTTCTGGTGCGCAATCAACTGCTCTTCATTATGTAACTAGTGAAATGCAACCTTTTTTTCAACGAGCAATTATCCAAAGTTCTCCAATGACTGTTCCTTTCAGGTAAAGAAACTAGATGAATAGCAAAATGAAGACTTGTTCTTTGATATTCTTTAGAACATACTTAGGCAATGTGGCACTGACGGTTCTTCTTGCTGAACAATTGCACTGTTCTCCGAACAATTTTACTTGTTTTCGCTCTCGATCAGCTGGTGAAATCATTACTGCTCAAGCACAAGTTAATCAAAAGATCACTTCGTTGAATCCATTGTCCTTCTTCGAACCATGGTTACCAGTGATTGATAATGACATTGTTCATGGATCGCTTGTTAACATAATTCAGAATGTCTCATTTCCATTGAAACCATTAATTATTGGTACAGTAACAGATGAATGTTATGATATGGTACATGTCGCATGGAATAAAAGTGTAACAATCAGTGAATACACTGCATTGGCTATTGGTCTCTTTGGAGAAAAAGCACTAAAAATTCTAGAACATTATCCACCACTTAGTTCAGATGATCAACGACCAAATATTGTTCGTATTGCGACAGAATGGATCTTTACTTGTTCCACTCGTCTTTTCGCTCGAAAAGCTGCATCATATTCGTATGTATTCGGTTATCCATACAATAAAGTCAATACATTGAATTGTCCTGATCATGCTTGTCACGGTGATGAAGTAGCTTATGTCTTCCAATCGTTTTGGCAACGTTTCACTGACATTGGTCGATACATATCGCAAGGCATGGGTACTTATTGGACAAACTTTGCTAAAAGTCAAAACCCAAATGATCCATCGAGTGTACCTTTAGCATGGCCAAAGTACACAGATGGAAATGAAACATATCTGTTCATTGAAAATCCATTTCAACTAGGAAACAGCTATGTGAAAGATGATTGCGATTTCTGGGACCAAATCGGCTATAAATAGGATTTTGCATTTAAATAAAAGGATAATAAATTGTAATGTTTCCTTTATAATATTGCGGAGAATGATTTTTTGTAAAGGTGTGGATGTGGATATATCTGATTGATTACTCATATTTGAAGAATAGCAGAAAAAAAAACCAACAACCAGGATTACTTTTTATCAAAAACGGTGACAATCTCGGTCACAGATATGAACTAGGTTTTTTGTTAATTCTCGAAATTGATTATTGATGGGGTCCATAGTTTGTAATTATTTCCGATAAAATTAATCAAAACTACATCTTTGGTTACCACCCATATAGTGCAGGGGTCAATTTTCTAACAGAAACAACACATTTTTCAACTCTCTTTCCTGGTATTCGTTCTCATTTGATGATTCTTCGTTTCCAGTTTCTCGTTTCATTTTCACGTGAACTCTTTCTTAACTTAAGTAATGGTAACGTTATAAATCCATCATGGAATGTTCCGTTGTTTCAGGTGCATGTCGTGTCTCGCGAGACAGTTGCCAATATTTCTTAAATGGCTCAGCTAGCCAAGACAACACTATAGTCATTGTGATTGGTGGTATGCGATAATTGCGCTTAGCAGAATATCAAACGATGATATTCTATTTGAAGGAGAGAAAAGGTTTTGTACGATTAGCATTAAAAAACGGGCTAGTAGATCTGTCATTAGAATGAAGAGAAAAAGAAGATGTTTTGTTTGTTAGTGCATCATTAGTACCAGTTAGCTATATCATTCGAAGAAAACGACCATTATCGATCGATTTGGGGACGATCAATTGTTGGTTATCTACCTCTTCATCGCTCCGTGACGACCGTTGGTAAGACAAGCCTTTCTTTTTCATTACAGTGAATAGAAAAAATGCATTCTATCTTATTGTATAAGTTGGTAGGTTGATTCATGTCAATCAAGTCACTGATCCATGTCAAACCGATATCGATCAACTTCATTGTCAATACGTTCAAGTAGTCGAACAGCTATATGAAACTAATAAAGCAAACTATGGTTTTGAACATGTAAAACTAGAGATCATTTGAATAACGTTTGGATGAGAGTGAGCAAAAAAATTTATACATCAGCTTATTAAGAACATCGTATGATATAATATATCGATAACTTATTACGACTTGTACTGATATAGGAAGGACCATTGTAAATAATATGATTGACGATAAAGAGCTCATTTGAGTACTCTGATAATGTATGAAACGAATGTTTATTGTTTCTGTATATGGGATGATTGAGAAAGAAAGGTTTAAGTAAGCATACGACCATAAATCGCATTTAAGCTCATCTTCAAAGATTCTGTGAGCGCTGCATAACTTGTTGTTGAACTAGAAATTGAATCTCATAGATCGAACTGAGTATACGCATTAATCGCATACTTCTAATATTGTTATTCGAAAAGAAATTTCATAAGAAATCAGTCGCTATTGTTCTATCATCAGGACCTTTTCCATATACTGTAAACTTAATGGAACATCTGTCGTCGGTGGTATACCTATGAAAAAATAAAATAATATCAAATTTATACGTGTATCATTACAAGAATATTCTTATATTCAATATTATATTGTAATTTTCGACTAAGTTCATTAGTATAATTTTGCTGGATAACCAGAAATAATCGAAACAAGCGTTTGATTACCTTCAGGCTGGACGGATGTCAATGTTCTGATTTAACGCATATGATAATTGAATGTTTCTGTTGAAGGCATAGTTTTCTTGGGTTACACGAGATCTGTATCAATGGCAGAGATATTGCTTTTAATGAAAATGAGTTCGGTAAACGCAAAGTAAAATATTTATATTAGCAAAATCGTAATACAATATTTTGAAATTCTTCTTTACTTTTCAGATTTTTACCTGTACCTAAGATTGTCTAAGAAAACATTAAGAGTGGCAAACTTTAGTATTAGATGAAAAGAACTTCAATGCTTTCTTTGTCATCTTCAGGGCCAATAAAAGGTATTTTGTTTTTTACAAGAATTTTTACACTTAGTGTATTTAATCCAAGTAATGATGGAATCGTCATGGTGAATTTCATACAGTCCTTCTTTTATTGTGCATAATCTGAAATTTGATTCGCATTCTATCTTTTCTTTTCTAAGATATCAAAGAATTACTCAGTGGTAAGTTAGCAGTAAATCAATACAGAATAAAAAAAATACTTTAATCATAGCATCAAAGAGAAACTTATTGTGTTTTCTGGCCTTCATATTGTCTTTCTCTCACACTGTGAAAATTCTGTGCTTCTTATATCTATCGGGATTTGATGATGACATCCGTTTCCTTCGGTGTTTTGTCTTGTGTGCCGTTGTTTAACACGAGTTGAAGGCAAGGCTGAGCAAATTTCATCCCAAAATACCCGGCCCAATATTTTGTATCACATCCTTGCATCACAACAGTAACATCCGTTGGTAAAGTCTTGTATTGTGAATAACGATATGTTATTCTATGCCAACGTCCGTCATTCCATTGTTTATATTCTCTTTTGCAATTCCATACGTGACCATCGGAAAATGTGAGCGAGAGTGTGGCTTTTGCGCCACAATCTTTGCGAGCAGCAATACATACCGAAAATTCGATTACAGGATGAAGGGAGAGCAACTAGAACATTGAGTGTTCAAGTATATGAAGTGATTTCTAGAGTAACATTAGTAAACTTACCGGTGATTGAGTATCATCGAACAATTTGACATGATCCTGTTTGAATGTGCCCAGCTGGTAAGACGTAGCCCATGCGGGTACGATTTGATTGAATTCATCGTATAGAGGTTCACAACCATCTGGTATTTTTTCGAGAGAAAAGTTCGTTTTAATCCATTGGTCGTCTTTCAGTAGATTAATATTACAATGGTCGAGTGTAAGTGTATTGATTGGTATTGAAGACTCCGTTTTAGTCGACTCACTGATAGTAGGCTTGACATTTATTTCTAATAGAAATTGTATAATAAATAAGTTACATTCTAATTGGTTCATGATGACTCGATAGATTTCTTGTCATATAGAATTGATTCGATTGAAAAGCGGTCTGAATGTCACTTACTTGCTGTGTTGGGCAGGAATGCTGCACACACCTGCTCGTTCGTTTTACAGCTAAAAGAATAGATCCTCTCAAGTATACTGATGTCGAGAACTTTTGAAACAAATCCTACCATCGTAGAAACTCTTCTTTTGTAAAATTATCGTCTGGACTCTTTCCACAGATTTCCATCATTTTTGTGACAATTGATCTTGCAGTACTGATATCAATCGCGTTCTTTTCATCTTCTAACTCTGAAATGACTTCGATAAACTTTATTATTTCTTCAGCATCAATTGCATTGGAATTGTCCTCATCACACATGAAAAATACCTAGAAAAGATAAATAAATCCTCTTGAATAGATTATTTCAAAAAGAAAAGAAGTCTTTCGTAACACATACCATTTCGAGGCGTTTGTCGACATTATCTGGTTGCGTTAGAGCAATAGCCGACATAAATTCCACAAACGTAATTGTACCGCTTTTGTCCTTATCAATTTTAGAGAATGCATAATTGCAATAATTCGTTACATTTCCTCTAGATGTAGATATTCTCATATATCATCATCAGAATTACGCCGTTTGCAAGACAAATACTTTGAATAAACTTCTTTGAGTGCAGCAATCAACATCGCTTTTGTCAGCTCCCCAGTTGGACTATAATGATGAAGATGATGAATACAGTGAAAGTGTATATCTTTCAAACATTGTAGGTTACTACCTTCGACTAATGAATTTGTTATGCAATTCCAAAACTGCAGCTTCGGAAAGACTTGGATTTTGTTTTCGAATTAATTTTATTTGTTTCGGCAAAATGCTCTCTAAATAGAGAGAATTTATCTGTAGATCTAATCTGTATGCGTATAATACATTTCTTTTCGGAATCCTCAGAAGTCTAGCTTACGTAATGAATCTTGATAGAAATTTCGAGATTCAATTATTCCTTGCTTAGCATAGAAAATGACGCATTGATCTGGTTTGTCATCTAAATCAGCATGTAAATCATGATCAATCACTCGAAAAATGGCACTGGAATCCTTGGTCTCATGTTCAGTTTGTATTAAATTCGAAAGGAATCTTAATAATTTAGGCCAATGTTGTTTATTTTTTGTCTGCCATTCGTCACAAATATGCAATAGATACACATCATTATCATAGA